ATAGGCAGACGCTGTTCGTCTGTCAATCCTTCGCTGGCAATGGTGTAGGCATGACAGTATCTCCATATACGTGCCATTACCTTATCGATGCGTTGTTCATGCTCCAGATCAACACCCGTGATGGCGCACAATCTATCCGTCGCTCCAATTGCTGGCGTGCGGTATTCCAGCGAAATGTCCAGGCATGATCTATTAGATATATAGCCGTGGGATCATTTGCCTTGATGCCCTGCTCGCGTGCTACCTCCAAAGCAAATGCTGGTTTTCCATTGTCATCCTCGTCCTCCTCTTCATCATCCTCATCGTAGTCGATGAGCATTAACTGCAGAGCTTCGCCAGCATCGAAGATTTCCGTGCAAAGCTTGCGATAAAGTGCTGGCCAAAAATGCACAGGAATTGCAGCAGATTCTAGTTGCGGTTTGTGCAGAGCCACAAATTCATTGTATTTGTTAATTCCATCCATATTGTCTGCGAGAACGTTGTAAAGGCACTGCCTTCGACCGGCAAATTCACATGGCTGGTATATTTCCTTTTCATTTTGACATTAAAATATACTATCTAGTAACTACTGAATATGCTAAAGAGAAGGACTAATAAATATTTAAATTTTATAATATAATAATCAATATCGTTAGGTGTAAGAGGAACTGAAAAATATTAAATAACAGTTTGAAATTATTTACAGATATGGTATTTCTGGCACGGGAATTTAACAAATGAACCTGATTATCATTCATATTGTGTACTCAGTTAATTCAAACTAGTTCAGCTGTTGAACTGTGGTGGTATTTTTTTTTCAAATTCCGTTGCGATTTGCTTGGCAAATTTAATACCAAAAAACGAACATATGTCAGGGCTGCGGTAGGCCGAACAGCTGTTGCTCCAGTCAAATTTTTGGTGAGCTCATATAAATAAATGACAACAATATACAATTTCACCATTAGACAGAAATTACACTAAAGTGGCGGCCGCATACACAAATACATCCATACAGAATATCACATACTATCAGCTGCTAGCTTAGAATAAAAATTCATAGTCATCACAACTCGACACTAAACGAGCCGTTTACTGACCAACAAAAAAGGGTTAACTTGGCCTATGCAATATTAACAAAATTCGCGCAAATGTTGCAACGTCGCAGTCATTTGCTAGTATTAATTATTGTCACTCTTCTGGCAAACATTCAAAATTAACAACAACTACAAAACATCTGAGAGAAAATACTACGAGAGAAAATTTTTTAAAAATATACTCAAATGAGTGGCACACTGTCATTGCCAAACCAAGCCGAAGGCCCTGCAGATGCTCCGCTAGAGGCTCGGTCAATGGACGTTGAGGTAAGCGAAACGATAACGAAAAAGGATTTCGAATGACTTTGACACAATTAAAGCCGCAAAGGTCAAACAATAAGTTCTCAATGCTGGGAAATTTAATATACACATGTGTGTGCATATATACAAACTTACATATCTGTGTATATATACATTCTAACATACATCAATACATACATATGTACATAGTTAAATGCGCAGTTGCTGTGGGCGCGATCATTGTGTCCGTTAGGTAATCCACGCCCATTTGGCGGCACTTCCGCGTATGCCATAGCAGCTGTGACGTACGTATGTATGTACATATATAAGCACATACAGCTGTGTGCATATGTATATATGTGTTTGCTATTGCGTTTGTAAATGAGAGTATAATAATACTCCATTTTCGTTAGCTGCCAAGTATAACAATAATAGTATAGTATAGTATAAGAGTGCACTTCAATAATATAAGTTGCTGTAAACTCTTGCTGTTGCTTTGCTATAGAAATGATGTTCCTTGTCTTTATCACGATATTTATATTTGCTTATGTCTAATCATATCAGATATTTTTCTAATCATAGACAAGGAAAGGCAATATCGAATGCTGCATTTTTCACAACAAAATTCCCTTTTACATTTGTGTAGACAAACAATTTGACAAATTAGATAATAATAGTTATGTTTTTTGTGTAGTCAAATTCTCGTATTTAATTTCTATGAAAAATTACATTCTAGGTTTCGAAAACTAACGGCTTCAGCCTATGGCAATGGTGGCATAACTGGACAGCATCATCGCCAACCATGCTGCGGGCCGTAGAGAAGAAGATATTATCATATCTGAAGCTGCCCTACCGCGGCTTCTTTGTGGACATAGGCCCGGCTGTGGGCGATGCGGATAAGATCTGGACGGTGAGCATGAATACAGAGTCGAAGGAGGTGCCGCTTGTGTTGCTGCACGGCCTCGGCGCTGGTGTTGCCTTGTGGGTCATGAACTTGGATGCCTTTGCCAAGGATCGTCCTGTCTATGCTATGGATGTACTCGGCTTTGGACGCAGCTCCAGGCCAATGTTTGCTAAGGATGCCTTGGTCTGCGAGAAGCAATTTGTTAAGTCTGTTGAAGAATGGCGTCGCGAAATGAACATCACTGATATGATATTGCTGGGTCACTCCATGGGCGGTTTCATTGCATCCAGCTATGCCCTGAGCTATCCGGAGCGTGTTCGACATCTGATACTGGCCGATCCCTGGGGATTTCCCGAGAAACCCGCCGAGTCGACGAATACCAAACAGATTCCACTGTGGTTGCGTGCAATTGCACGCGTTCTGACGCCACTGAATCCGCTGTGGGCGTTGCGAGCTGCCGGCCCGTTCGGCCAGTGGGTGGTGCAGAAGACACGGCCGGACATTATGCGCAAGTTCCAGAGCACCATCGAGGAGGACATCAATCTGTTGCCCCAGTATATACACCAGTGCAATGCCCAGCGGCCGAGCGGTGAATCGGCATTCCACAGCATGATGCAGTCATTTGGCTGGGCCAAGCATCCAATGATTCACAGGATCAAGGATGTACGCAGCGATATACCCATCACATTCATCTATGGCTCACGCAGCTGGATCGATTCCGCATCCGGTGAGAAAATCAAATCACAAAGGGGCACAAATATGGTGGACATTAAGATCGTGACCGGTGCGGGGCATCACGTGTATGCTGATAAGCCGGACGTATTCAATCGCTACGTCAACGAGACCTGTGATATATACAAAGTCAACAAAGGTGAACGACAGCTGCAACAGTTGCCGCAGCCGGTGTCAGCAGCGATGCAGATGATCCACGGCCCAAATGAATCGGATGAGGAGCACGATGTGCCCAATCTGAGTACAGCTGCGGCAACTGTGGAGATCAAGCCCGAGGCGGATGCTGCCCAGGATGTAACATCCACAACAACAAAGGATGCAGTAGCAGGAGCAACACCAACCGTGGCGACATCAGCTCAAACACCGAAAGCAACAGCTAAGACAAAGGCCAGCAAAGGTGAAGAGTCAACGAATCCAGCTGTTGATTTGGCCGATGTGAAGCGAAAATGAGAGAATGCGCAATGAATATTCTTGCCGGCCTTTAAATTATTATAAATGTTGCTCCACCAACAATGTGTCTATTATTAATATTATTATTATTTTTTTAACTTAATTATTAGCTTGTTTTTCGTAGTATTAAATGTTGTCTTATCTTAGTCGCTCGTTTAGTTTGTTATTCTCTATTGTCGCCCAAGTCCAATCACCCAATCATTTCTTTCCCTTGTGCCTCAAGCCAATGTCGATGCGTGATTCAGTGCTCGCATCTGATTAATTACGCGTGCTACAATATTCTGTACAAAGTTCAAGAATTGTTCTATTTAATAATCATTTGTGATAAATCATTTGTTATTATATATTCCTTATATAAAGCGTACGCCTAAAAGCTCGCTTTTCCCTAAGAACTCATTTCCTATCAGCCGTTTGACGTAGGTTCAGCCCACACGTGTGGGTCTGCGTCAGTCATCGACCCAATCCAAGGGGTCTAGAAAACAAAATTGATTTAACTTTTAGCTTAGCTCATCTCAATTAATCAAGCATTGCAATCTACAAGCAAATACGGGATTGTACTTAAATTGATTATTTCATAGGCAAAATCAATTCATTCGAATTTTATTCATAGAGCAACTCAGTTGCTGGGTTAGTTGCTAACTCATTTTTTATTTAATTAGAGCCAAAATGAAGCTCCCATTATTTGTGTTTAATTTCATATTTCTCTCGATTTTGCAGTTATACTCCCTTTTCTTTTATGAGTTCACTGTCTTATTAAGTTTCTTTTATAATATTTTTCTCACATATCAGTTTTCTCTTTCATATGTGATAACTCGCTCTCTTAGCCTACGATTTCTCCACATAAAAAAGCTCTTTATCTTAAATAAGAACTTTCCCTTTCTCGAACAAGAACTTTCACTCTCTCTCAAATATCAACTGTCTACCTCTCACTCTCTTATATTAGCTCCCTCTCTTTCCCTTTCTATTCACTTTCGCCCCTCTATTCAATTCTCACAAATTTATCTAGATGTCACAAATTTTAATCAAACTATTTATAGAACCTAAGTTTAAGTGCCTTGTTGCATAGTGTTAATTATATTATATTATATATACATGTACATACACGTTTGTTTAGCAATTTATTTTCCAGGCTTTGTTCTATCAGCAATGCTCATTGTAATAAGCGCTCGGCATATAAACAAATTTATGTACATATATGTGTATACAAAATAATTGAAGAAATCAAGTGTTTTAAACCATATCAGATCTGTCTGGTCGCCATCCAATACGAGCACACACAGCGATTTGCTCTCTTTCAGTTGATTATGCATTGGCAAGTAAATATGTATATGTACATATATGTATATAATAAATTAACAAAGCTGTTGACTATATACAGAATTATCAAAGAATGTTAAAAAACAAAAAAAGTTTGCCACTTGATAAGCAACGGTCCATGACTAACAATAACAAAACAAAGACAAAGGCATATTTTTTTTTTTACATATTTATGAACTATATATTATGATATTTAATTTGTTTCTCGAATTGCAAGAAAAGTCTTTCGAACTACACGAATAATTTCACATGCTCTGGATTACAAGTACAATGCTTTTTTTTGGTGCCTTTTGCATTAGGACGTAAGTATATATAAATGAATAGGAAAAAACTGATTATTTCAGACACAGCTCTACTTGGCATCGGCAAAGCCAACACGATCGTTGCCCATGTCGAACTCAGTATAGTATTTGCCAATGAAGACATCGCCCAGAATCCAGAGGGGACCATTTGGTGGTGGTATATCCATGCCCATGAAGCCGGACAGGCAAATAGTTTTGCCCATTTGGGCAATTCGCAAAATGTAATCCTTGCCCTCCAGCTCAAAGGTCTTGCCACCTAGCACGAATTTAATGACCGGCAAATTGGGTATCATGTCACAGGAGACGACGTACTGGTAGAGTAAACAAATATTAAATTTAATACCTCTTTATATACACATATTAAAAGTTAAACGTAAACGGCATTCTTACCTGTCCGCCCACAATGGGGGTGCCACCAATAGCCTGATTGATTGATGTAGCCTCGGCAGCAGGTGCGGCAATTAGCGAGGTGCCCGTATCGGCAATCACCTGGCAGCCACCTTTGCACAGCTCCACATTGTTTATCTGAGCGGAATCCATTTTGATTTGCCAGTAGCCCTTGCGTGTAACAGGCAAATATGTGAAGTCGCCAGTATAATGCTTGGGATCGGAGCCACCGAAAATGATTTCGCCTCCTTCGGGTGCCTTAGGATCACGATTTAAGTAGAATGAAAACACCGGCTGTGCGATTAAGCTCTGCTCGAACATGTTGTAGAATGGTGGCTTAACACCATCCACCGATATCGAACTGTAGCCCAATCCAAGGATACCGTCGAATTTAGCGGCGACAAAGACCAAACCAGGTTCACTCAGTGCTTCGGCGAATGTCTGACCCTTGATGTCCAAGCCGGCAATGTTGACTGTATCGGTGGATAGGTAACCCGAGAGACTGCCCGAGCCATAGTGTATGTCGAATGAAGTACCATTTTTGTTGTATGTCGACGACTTGCTGGCATCGTATTTATTGTGCATCAGGCAAGCAATGTTGGTCAGGTGACATTTTTTGGATGGCACCCAGAGATTAGAGGAGCCCGTATCGAAGACAACCTTGAAATTCTGAGGTGGTGTGCCAATCGATATGGGGCCGTAGTATTGGGCATCCAGGTAATTAGAGAGTGGTTCGGGTGAATCACCGGCGCCATATTTAATGCGCAATTGATGCAACTCGGTGCCGACATCAGCAAAATGCCGGCGCACAGACTGGAATTTGGTTAACGGCACTCGCAAGAGTTGTGGCTCTGCGGCCCAGGCTAGGGCCAGGCAAGCAGCAATTAGTAGCAGTGTCTTCTGCATGACTACTGCAAGTAATTTAAATGCTTTAAGTTGGAAAATTCGCTCCCGACTGATTGGTTTGGAATCGTTTGTGTTGCAGTAAATTAAATATTTGCAGCGCAGCAGTGAAAATGATTCAGCAAACAAAATGTACTAAATTTGACCTGAAATACTAGTGCTGTGATACCAGGGCTGAATAGCATTTTACATTCTGTAACAGAATTTGTTCGTTTATTGTACTTGATCAATTTTATAATTTTTGATTAAATCTGATACATCCGTTTGTTCTCAAAAGGCTTTTGTAATCATATATATTTATATATATATTTGCAATAAATTGTTGAATTTAATCTAACATACGATATCCAAAAACCGTAGCTCTTTGACTTATTGTTACTTCTTAAAGTGTGCTTGGTAATCCTTCTCTGTGCATATAAAAAGGGGTATCTTTATAAGCAACCATTTTCCAACGTTGATAATTTTGATATAGATATATAGATAGATCCTTTTCAAAATGCATTAGAAATTGCTTAAAGTACCGACTTGCAAATTATAGTTTATGTTCTCTTTTATCCTGTTCAGTACTTGTAGCGGTAAATAGCCACGCCCGCTACGCCTATTAAAATGGTGCCCATTAGAAATCCAATTAGTTTCAACTGGAAGAGAAAATCGAAGATTAGAAAACAAAACAGAACATTTAATAAAACGGGAATGCCAGCAATGCGTTTTTCTTTTTCAGCTTACTTTTGAATTATCTACCAAGGGTGCTTTCTGTCGAACGTTGGTTTTTTGCTCCATTTTCTTGGCCTGACCTAACATTTTCTGGTACATTTCTTTTTCATTGTGCTCATCTCGGCGCGCTTTAATAAAGAGTCTAGCCAAATCTGACTGTACCGATCGATTATCCGGCTCCAATGTCGCAACCTTCTGCAACAGCTTGATTGCCCCTTGCGTATCATTCTTGCCCTCGAGCACCTGATAACGAGGCAAGTGGGAGATAAAGCTGTGTTAAGTGCCACGTACACAATAAGCGTTATTCAACTCACCCTGCCCTTTCGATACAGGGCCTTGGGATTATTGGGCTGGCAACGCAGCACATGCTCCACAGACTGCAATGCAGCATCGTAGGCGCCAATTTTGATTTGAGCCATTGCCAAATTATTGTACACAATCAGACGATCTTCTAACAGGCTTTGCAGATCACTGTTCGATAGCTTTACAATAAATTTGAAAAATATATGATTATATTGTTGCATTATACATTAATCATCATAAATTACCTCCAGATCTTCTTTGCCGAATTCCGCATCGGGATCACCATCGCGATTATCCAAGTAGTCAAGGGCGCGTCTATACAGATGTATTGCGTTATTGTATTCCACACGTTTGTAAAAGTAATTAGCGCGCTCTTTTTTCCTCGCACTGCATTTCCAAAAAAATTAATTCAAGTGACTATCATGATTTTTTAAATTATTATCTCTTATATATTACCCATATTTACGCAGCACATCAAAAGATTTCAAATCTGCAAAGTCTTCGTATTGAACATCAACCAGTTCTAATTCGTAAATCAGCTGGAATTATAAATAGATTTACATATGTCATTTTCTTATCTCTAACGGATCGTTGCACTTACATTAGCGTTGGGTGGTATAACAGTTTCAGGTGGATTTTCAGTTTTAAGACCGATGGTGCCATAGCCGAAGCGTTGATCGATGCTAACTTGTGCCACTTCGCCAACATGCATCATTGGCAGCACCATGTCCAAGCCCTGGACCACCTCGAAATCGCCTACATGACATTGGAAGCGCTCTTCTTTTTCCACAACAGTGCCATCTTCCAGCTTTCCAGTGTATGTTATCGTTACCAGATCACCGCGATTGGGCCGCTTGGCATTAGCGGGTGCCTTTTTGATAATGCGCTTGATTAGCTGCTTATTTCCCAAAATATCGCATTCCATTTCATCATCTATATCATCCTCCTGCTGTTTTGCATTGTCCTCGCTATTGCTACTACTTTGCACGGCAGCCGAATCGGCTTCGGATGTTTCGGATTCATTTACATGGGCATGGGTTCCACGAATATCGTTGGTGTCATCGGCATTGGTTAGGTCTTCGAAGGAACTGCTGCTAGATTTTTCGATGTCCATATTAAGCTGACGGATTCAAGCGTAACACATTGAAACATGGAAACATGGAACAAAGGGCAAATAACCCAACAAATTTGGCGACTGCCATCGGTACTCACTCTAAATGTAGTGCAATTTGGTACTAATTGTGGATAAACAGTCAGTGGCGTTAACTGTTTTGTAAGTGCTAAACTTTCAAACGGTTTGCGCACTGAAACGACCCAACAATTTTAGAAACTAACAAACTATTTGAAATTATACAGTAAAATTCAGGTTTGGGAATGATTACTTTCACAAGTACGTTTGACATTTCACATTACCAGGGTTGCCAGCATCGCACGATTAAAGTGCCACGGACATGTAACTGCAATTTTATTAAACTTGCTAATATACAATACTTTAATTAATACATATGCTGAATTGCAAATTTATGTTGTATTTATAGGTAATATTGCAATTTAAAATAGTCTTAAAAAAAAAAAAATACCAGACTTCATTAATTGTTGCATTTTGCTTGATTTTAAGATGGTGGCAACGCCAATCAGCTGTTTCTTTCCGCATTCTGTTTCGTACATTACATGTTTTGCATTTCAAACAAAATTTATTGGAGTTTTTTATAATGGGTAAAAAAACCAAAGGTGGCGGCAAAAAGAGAAGAAGAATACATAAGCACCGTTATAAACAGAACAAGCAGCAATCGCCGCGTAAAGGCCGCAAAGCCTTACTGAGTGAAACGGCAGAAGAAACAAACACGTGCCCGACAACAGTTGAAAATAAAGTGCTTCCAGAGCCCTCTTGTTCTAGGACAACGCTGGAAATGGACGTGAGTATTGAATTACAATTAATTAATTATTATTGGTTATACATTAGTTAACGTGTCGCGTTTATTGGGGTTCGTTGTGTTTGATTTAAAGGGGGCTGCCGACGCGCTTGACGCAAATCGTATTGCGCAGGCGTCAGTCCCCCAAACACTAACCAAAAAAGAGAAGGAATTTTTGCGAAAAACTCAGCGCGAGTTCCAGAACAAAAATTTCTACCAAATTGAATCAGTGCAAAAATTTGTGAAAATAAAGTGGCCAAAAAGTGTAATTGAAACCACCTAAATAACTAGAGTTACAAAAGTTAACTGAACGAAATGGAACAAATCTGGCGTAATATCTGTGCCCACTACGATGTTCCAGAGGATGTGACCAATGCCTGGTTTGCACGCATCGAACAGCATCTCAGCGAGGACAGTCCCAATCGCGCCTACCACAACTGGCAGGAGATGATGCAGCGCAAGCACGAGCATCTGTCGGACTGTGCACCGAGTATTGCTCTGGCTGCATTCTTTCAATACTATCATTTCGATGGCAATCGCAGCTGTGTGCAGCAGAATTGCGAGGTCTTTGAGGAATTTTGTCGCGATGCTATGATTGAGGATGTGAGTAACTGTAGAAGATGCACATATGAATATACACAAATATTTGAATGTTTTGAAATGATGTAATGCAGGAGCATGCCAAATCGCTTGTCTGCAATCTGCTGGGTCGCAAGACACCAGATAATGAGGTCACCTGGTCACATGATGAGGAAGCCAATTTGTTGCAGGATGTCGATTTGGTTGTGTTGGCGTATGTATGAAATATAAAAGCCTTAAATATACCCTGTATCCAAATGTAGTGTAGTACTATTAGAAATTTTTGTTATTATGGGTCAACATATGTAGAAGGACTGTCTGTCTGTCGACATTATTATATGGTTAAGAATATGTTTTAGAATGTTTTAGAATATGTTGATAACTGCGAGTGCATTGATATGCCTTTGTCAGCTTATCCAATTTCTTAAACATATTGAATAAGTCAATATATTGACGATACACTTAATGCCGCACCCAAGCAAGTATAAGTTGAATAGGTTTGAGGGTATTAGTAGGAATAAATCTTTTTCAATAGTAAAAATCTTGCCTGTATGCAGGGGTACAAACCTAGTCGAGCACCCTCGACTAGCTCATTTGTTAAGAAGAGTCTAAATGCTGTTCCTCTGTCACGTTCAGTGCTCCGCCGGATGAATATAAACACTATACTCAACTCTTACGTCACGAGTACGCCAATCTGGATGACGAGAGCTATAAAATGATGCGTGTCAAAGTCTTGGAGACATTGTTGCTAATACCAAGCATTTATGCGACAGCCGAGTACCACGAGAAGTACGAGGAGCTGGCACGTGCCAATATACGGAATGAGATACGTGAGCTAAAGCAACAGTAGGAGTTTCAGACGGAATGTAGTTAGTAAATGATTTGGAATCAAGAATGCCCAGTCAACAGTATACAATATGCAGCTTTTGTCTACAAATATGAGTGTGTTGCCTTTTTATATAACTAAATGTTGTCAAGAAATCAAAAAATCGATTTTCCTTTAAATTCATAGGAGAAGAAGTCAATCTATCTATAGTGTATCATTCGAGTGATATGAACGATCTTAGCTAGCTGAATTTACAAGCGATGCGCCAATCATATTTTTAGTTAACAACACTCTGAAACAAGCTCCTCTGTTAAGTGTCTAACCATAGTGGTAATTTAATCAAAATAAATGTAAACTGATATTGCCATACGTAAGCTATTCATGCGATTCAATAATAATGCTCGATGTATATACATATAATCGAAAAACCGATCAAATTGTAGTTTTATTCAAAAAGCACCTTAAAGTAAACTCGACTAGTGAGCGCAGTAAGTACGAAAACAATTTTTCAATGTGTCAACATTTTGAGTACCAATTTTAATATATTTACTTTTGTACGTACACACATATGTACACATACGCCCATTTCTCACCCAACACCAGTTAAAATTAAGCACCGATGATTCTACAACAATGCCGTCGCAATTCCAAAAGTTTAAGGATAGTTTGGTAAAAGTAAGTTATGAATTTATATGTTTTAGTAATTGTATACTTAAATCTCAGTTTGTTTTAGAAGAAGCTTAAGCGCTTGCAGAAGAAGAAATCACAGGAAAAAAATTCAAATAAAAGCTATACAGTAAAGCTTGCCAATTCCATTAAGCGTCGTGCAGTTAATTCACAAAGCAAAAATCCATCATCTGCACCCAAACAGCAGCAACAGCCAAAACAGAAACAACAGCCGCAAAAGCAAAATTCACTGCCCAAGCCCACGTTTTATCCCACCAGACAACGACAATCCGCAGTAGAAGAGAGCGAGATAATCGAAGAGATTGAGAGCAGCGATGACGATGATTGCATTGTCCTGGAACCGCATATGACTAAAATCACTATTGATACAGATGATGAGCCGGAGGATGAGTCATCGAAGGAGCCAGTCGCCGCCAAAGTAGAGGATAAAAAAACCGTAGTTAATTTCTTTGAAGTCGATACTAAACGTAGATATCAGTTATGGGCCCGTTTTGTAAATGGCACAAACGAGAGCAGCGTAGTATATGACACAAATAATGCGAGTCCATTATCAACGGAAAGTTCGTCGAGTATAATCATTGATGATGGCGGCGATGACGCTAAGAAAGTAGAACAGAAACAGCCTGTTGCACAGAATTTATTAGATGATAGTGTGATATTTGTACAAGAAGACTTTATACCGCTGTCGAGTGGTAAGGATGATGGTGACGGTGTTAGTCCGCAGCGAAAGCGTCACTCGAAGTCGACAGAAGACGGACCGAAAGCTGCTAAGACACCAAAGATGGTCACACAGCGGATGAACGAAGGCCTATTTACCTCAACGGAGCGCAAAAAACTCGCCGATTATAATAGCAATACATATAACCCAGGAGTAGAGTCGAATGCGCCAGTAACTCATAAACGTTCCATTATCATAGACGGCAGCAATGTGGCCTTTGGGTGAGCATTTATTCTCTAGTAAATTACTTGAGTCTAATCTTATGTCTATTCCTTGCATTTACAGTCATGGTCGCTCCAATATATTTTCTTCGGAGGGCATAAAATATTGTGTGGAGTACTTTGAGAAGATGGGACACGATGTAAAGGCTGTAATTCCATTGTTTCGACGAAATAATAACAAATCATCGAATCCTGCCCTGCTCGATCAATTGTATAAAGAGGGCAAAATTGTATTTACTCCCTGTAAAAATTTACCCAACCAACAGGCCATCAGCTATGATGATCGGTAAGTCATAAAATTTTTTTTACTCATTAAATTTTTATTTTCAATATTTATTTTCTTTTCAGCTTTATACTTCAGTTAGCTTATGAGCGTAATGCAGCAGTTGTCTCCAATGATAATTATCGGGATCTCATCAATGAGAATGCGGCATTTAAGAAAATCATTGAGAATCGTGTGATTGGATATTCGTGGTGCGATAACATACTGATATTACCCAAGGATCCGTATGGAAGATTTGGGCCACCTTTGGCTGAAATTTTACGTTGTTAGCGTTCAAAATTTTTTCTTTTCCTATTTTTTGTTTATCGTTAGATTTAGTAAAGTGAAATTTGTATTGAAGTTAAATATATTTACGTATTATAAGAATATAAGAGATATAATTGAAGTGTTGCATTTATGTTTCGATTCTAGGCGCAACCGAAACAACTGTGGTTGTGGATATAGTTGTGGTGCTTGTCGGAGCTTCGAGAATGTCTATGGTTCTCTGATAATCTGGCGGTGGCTCATTTAAAGCTGCTGCGGCAATCAGATTCGGATTGCTGCAGCCCAATTCCGTTGTGATGGTCAGAGTAGAGGCACCTAGGTTGCCGTCCTTGCTACAGATGTTAAGCTCGTCATAGCTGGGCGGTAGATCCATGCCCTTTGGCAATATGGTCATGTCGTTGTTGTCCACTTCAAGGTTAACGCCGCCATTGCCCATGTTAGTGTTGTTGTTGGTGACGCTTATTTCCATTTCACGTCGTGCTGCAGACGTAAATTGGCAAATTGAATATATAAATATATTTAAATGAAATATATAAATATTGAATAGTATAACTACCTATAATTGTATGCTTAAATATATCTTATCTCTATTTTGTGTTAAATTCAAATTATGATTTATCGACTTGTACTCACTTATCGATAACAGTACAATTGCGCTTTTATCACTCTCTACTTTGGTGCGCTGCATACGCGGCTCGAACAGCTGACAGTTCGTTTCAGTTGCGCGCAGCTGAGCAAGCAGCAACAGATTTGAAGCTGCTTCTCTTTTGTCTTTTACTAATATTTGTGTGTAAGTCTAAACAACAGTCACTAGTAAACAAGCACATGTATTGCAACTAAGAGATTTTTGAGCGCGCTAAAACGTCGTAAGTGAAACCCTCTGGCCAAGAAGTTTGGCCCAAAACTTCGATTAGTCATTTATGTAATAGACAACAAACATTACAATTGCTGACGTTTAAGCAATACAAGGTGAAAGTTTTTGGATGGGCAAAATATGTAAATTGTGACTCAATGCAGGTGCAACAGGTTTTGGGGTTAAACGTATCTGGCAAATTAATTATGGAAATCTATATTAGCAAAGTGTAAGGTGATAAATGGTGTTTTTCTTGCGTTTTCTTGTGTGTTGCCAATTTGGTTTTGGCAGCTTAATGATGAGTGAAAGTTTACAACGAAGGGCCAAAGAGATCGTGTTACGTGTTTGGAGTGGCCCAGCGATCTACATTTTATCAACATGAGCGGGAAAATAACACTTTAAAGGCTAGCAAAGTTCAAGCACATTGTATGCAGTCCAAAGGTTTTTAGTTTGCCTGAACTAGTTCTTTGGGTTAGAGGGTTGAAATTTAAACGGAATGATAAGCTGTTGATATAATAGTTTATTGGGTGCAGCTTCATGTTGACTGGACAGAATATTATTTAAGTTGAGAGTGGAAGAGCTTTCTTAAATCTTAGTTGAGCTTTTTCTTTTGGGGTTGAGCACTTGACACTGAAACGGAATGACAACCTGTTGATTTAACGGTTCATTAAACACAGCTCGTGCTGTCTACGAAAATTGTAAGAAAACTAATACAAACTTGTTTGCATCTTTTCAGCTCGAACTGTGCATCAAATCTGTCTTAGATGTTGCGACGCGTGCTTGGGTTTAGCGCTTTAGGCGCTGGCCTCGTCAGCACTGGCCTGAGCCTCCACACGAATGACTATGAACTCAATTCGCTGGGTATTGTGCGTTTGACGCGTTCTGCCTGCGCTGTGGTCGATGTGGCGCTCACCTACAAGCGGGAGCTCTATTATAAGGAGTGGGACAAGTCCACGCCCGAGTACAAGGCTGAGAAGAGTCGCGTGCATAAAATCGCCGCTGAGAAACTACTCGAGCTCATCTGCACAAACAAGGGCGTATATATCAAAGTGGGTCAACATATTGGAGCACTGGAATATTTGCTGCCCAAGGAGTTTGTACAGACAATGAAGGTGCTGCATTCGGATGCGCCACAGAATCCTATCGAGGATTTATACAAGGTCATACGACAGGACTTGAAACGGAATCCCGAGGACTTCTTCGATGACTTTGAGCGTGAGCCGCTGGGCACTGCATCATTGGCACAGGTGCACAAAGCGCGACTGAAGACAGGTGAAGTGGTGGCTGTTAAGGTGCAGCATCCATATGTCAAAGGCAACTCGCGCGTCGACATGAAGACCATGGAGCTGGCCGTCAAAGTGCTGGCGCTCATATTTCCCGACTTTAAAATACAATGGCTTGTCGAGGAGTCCAAGAAGGTAATGTGCCCATTAATGAGGAAGTATAGAGAATTACATTACAAAGAATTTCCTTTTTAGAATCTGCCCATTGAGCTGGACTTTCTGAACGAGGGCAAAAATGCCGAAAAGGTCGCCGAGCAGTTTAAGAAATACAGCTGGCTGCGTGTGCCGAAAATCTACTGGGAGCTGAGCTCATCCCGTGTGCTAGTCATGGAGTATCTGGAGGGCGGACATGTCACAGATTTGGATTACATTAAGAAGCATAATATTGATGCCTTTGCGGTGGCCAACAGAATCGGACAGCTTTACTCGGAGATGATCTTCTCCACGGGCTTTGTGCACAGCGATCCACATCCGGGCAACATACTGGTGCGGCAGACGCCCAAAAACAATTTAGAAATCGTTTTGCTGGATCATGGACTCTATGCGAATCTTAGCGATAAATTTCGCTATGAATACTCAAAGCTCTGGCTAAGCATCTTGAATGTCGATCGCAAATCCATGCGACAGCACAGCGAGCAGCTGGGCATCAAAGGCGATCTGTATGGACTGTTTGTTTGCATGGTGACGGGCCGACCCTGGGATACACTGATGCAGGGCATTAACAAAGTCAAATATTCCAAAGAAGAGGTGAACCACTCAATTGGCCCCAGTTTCATGTGCATTTTGTCTTATATATGCTTTGCTTCTCTTTCGGTTTTGCAGAAGAACACACTGCAGAGCAACACGTCGCTTGTGCTGCCTCACATTTCGGATGTGCTCGAGCAGGTGGATCGGCAAATGTTGCTCATACTGAAGACAAACGATTTGATACGCGGCATTGAGTCAACGCTGCGCACACAGAACCGCATGACCGCCTTCTGGGTGATGTCCAAGTGCTGTGTGCAATCCTCCTACGCGGAGCAGCTGGCCAAGCAACCGGAGGCAGCGAAACGCTGGCAGTTGAGGCTACGCGAACGTTGGGATCTATTCAAATTGAATATCTACTACCTCTATCTGGGGTTAATTAACTTTGGATTTCTTGCGGCGCTCAAGCAGGTGCTCTAGCTTGGACAGCACTTGGAATGAAGTACAAATTAAAATGGGATAAATGCAAACTAAAATGAATTACCTCGTTGTCTCTGCAGGATCAGGCGGCGTTCGTTCTCCCGACGCTTGCGCTGCACGGAGCTCTAGTGTTATGGTTGTTTGAAGAGTTAAATTAGCTCATCGATTATGGATAGTTATAAGATCTAAGCGATATGTTACCATTATAACCGCCAATGGCAGCAGTATGACAAAGAGAAAAATCAGCACAATGTAGAACGCGTAGCCCGAGTAGAAGTACACATAATCCGGCTGTGGATAGTAATACGGATAGTCTTCTGAGTTGCCATTGGGAAACGGTGCAAAGGTACTGTTGCCGATATATGTGCTGTTCGTCGAGCTTGGAATTGTGGCAGCCGTTGTGGACGCCACTGGGGCTGTCACTGCCATTGATGGCGTTGCAGGTGCCATTCAGAAATATTGTTTCTACTCGTTGTGTCCGCTCGAATTGAACTGAAGCCCCCCAAATTGATGGGCGACCGACCACTCATCCATGGGTCAGGCTCATGGTTCACATATTTGCTTTGTAATCATTAGCTGATAAGGTTGACAAAAAAAAAAAAAAAAACCTAGAAGCGAAGCACTACCTAGGCCGGGGGCTTAAGTTTGGTGTGCTGTTTGCCTGACCCCCCGAGCACCCCCCGGCTGACTCAAGCAAGGCATTGCTTTATCTAATGAGGCGCTATGATAAATGTGTGCAAATGACACACAAACTGCGTGAACGTGTATCTATCCAACTATCTATCTATATATATATATAATATATATTTAAGATATGTGTGTAAGATATCTGCATGTATGTGTTATTGCTTGTTTATATGATTTATAGCAAGTTTTCCATTGTCAAGACGTTCCCTGTTTTTTTTTTTATTATTATATTTTGTGTTTGGGAGGTGTAATATTTGCTTTAGGCATGGACTAAAATCTATTTATGTGCAAGACTCACGCAACGGAATGGAATCATGTTTAATTCAAGAGCTTGTAGCTATTCATAATTGTATAATTTATAAAAGTGAAGCCATTTCTCTATAATTTATATGTTAATATGTTTCTAATTGACTATTATTATTATTGTTTACTTGAGAACTGTTGGGAGCGCACAAATTAATGTTAATAATTTAAAGTTTATTAAATGTTCATGAATTATTATTTTGATATATTGATAAATATTTAATACTTTTTATATTTTTAAAAATTATATAAATGATTTGTACTTCTTAATTTTTATAATATAAACAATTAAAATTAGTTTACTTTATAGATTAATTATTTTTAATATAATTATGATTTTGCAAAATTTTTATTGTCAATTATTTATGTTTTAAATATTTGTAGGAATGTTACATTAATTATACTTTAAAAATTTTGTGGAATTTCTTTAAATATGCTTAATTACTTGTGGTGTAATTAAGACTAAAGCATAATTCCTAGAGTATTTCAATATTTTAGTTAAGTTATCTAAGAAATTACCTAAGTTTTTCACTTAGTATAAATAGAAATGATGTCTTTTAGTCTTATACATAAGTAATTAAGCAGTCATTAATTAATTACTTAAATAATTAAATTAACTGCTTAAGAGTTTGAATTATCAATTATAATTATTAAAGTAATTAAGCATTTTAATGTATAAATAACTAAAGTAACTGTTCAGTCGAAGTTAGATTACTTAAGTAATTAAAATTAAAATGCTTAAATACTTAAGTAATTATAAGACATATATATCATTCCGTATAATTCTAACTGCCTTTGTTCAGCTCTTTGTACTTAGTGAATGAATTTTCACAACACTCACGAACAAAGACAAGAAGAGGCACGACTTACGCCCATCTCTAGCAATCTTGTCGATGGCATAAGAATCTAGTGCAAATATTGGCGATTATGTTTACTTACCTTGCTCACCTTGCGACATTTCCTTCAGCTGCTTGAGCATATAAAACCTATAAGCAATCATAATCGACTGCAATTGCAATGTCAAAGATTAAATATTAATATTAGCAATTAACCATAGTCACAATAGATATTCACTTACGCGTATGAGGAAGAGGCAGAAGCAAACGACGGCCAATATAATCAGCAGACTCGACGAATCCATTTTTAATGCACTTTCTTAATTGTAGGCAATAATTAACGTATTTGTATTTCGATTGTTTCTTTCAAAGATTTGCAGTGGCTTGATGATTCACAGTAAGCTCTAGCGCATGTCCAACGATAAGATATGAATATGGATACGCTGATATATGTATATATAAATATATATACATATATGTATATATATGTATAAGGTTTCTATATGTTTATTTGCGTTGTATTTGATTACATTTTAATCAGTATTTCAAGAACTATATATCACCACAAATCGATTCGCTAGCTCACTAGCTCGCTCTCTCTTTCTTGCACTCACTTTCTATCGCTCTCGCTCTTTCGCTCTTGAATTGCGTGGGCGCTCGCCTAATTATGTGAGGACAACTCGATTTGGCTTGCGGATTGCGAATGGATTTAGCTGCCTGTTGCGTGCTAATAAAAATAATTAATATTATTAAGCTTTTGCTATGCTCTGCCAACGGGTATTTTCGTTTTTATCAACAATCTCAGATAACGGGCACATTTGTAGAAGAAAAGAATTATATAAGTTTAGATTGTTCCCTTTACTTTTCATATATATTATTTCAAAAGCTGCTTTGTTTTTTCTTCTTCTTTCCATCCCATTTGTTATTTAGCCGTTTTCTGCTGCTGTTTAGCTATAGCTAAAATCTAGTTTAAAGTGTTTAACTATATTTCTAGCTGAGAGCCATGATCTTAACACATGAACAACATCGTATATAAATAGATCAACAATATATAATCTATTCTAAGTGTGAATTTTGTAGATTAACTTTCTGTTTATTAAAACTATTTTTAGAACATGCTCTTATCACTATTTGTTATGCTTTTTTATACTCATAATTTTTTATAATTGTATAAAAATCCTATTAATGTGTCATACTCTATATCACTCTAGGTACATATCGTTATTGGCAAATCAGAAGCTGTACTCTTCATAGGGTATGTATTAGTTCGTTCAAGCCTTTGTTCACTTTCAGCTCTTCTTCTTCTTCTTCTGCATGGCATTGCCTTATCTCGATTTGTGCTCTGGCGGCCTTCTCTTCACTTCAATAAGCAGATGGCATTCCACTTTTTGCCTGTTTATGGCTTTTTGGGTTATCGCTGTGCAAAGCCGCCAGCAGGCGAGACGTGTTGTCTGTTTGGCCACGCCCACCACGCTCACACACAGTTGTTGAGCAAATTGCGTAGACATAGCAGGCAGCAGAGGCAGCAGTTGCAGTCGTTAACCGTTAATTAAAGTGAATGGCCGTTCTGGCTTTCTGGCCGAGATGCACCTTGACCTGGCCCAAAGCCATCAGCACACACACAAACACACACATACCAGCATACACCCACACCCACACACACACACACAGCCTCGCATATGATTATCGCTCTTTTGTGCATTGCGCTGCCTGAAATTTTCGCCGTGTTGCGGCTCATTTGCATAACGCCGCGGCTCGAACATAAATTATGGCAGGTGAGAACGAGCACCTGGGCGCCAGAAAAAAAATACAATCCTTATGTTGTTGTTGTTTTTCATTTTTCTTATTATTGCATTATGCAGTGTGTGTGTGTGTTGGTGTTGGTTGCTGGTACCTATGTGTGTGTGTGTCTGGCCTTCGGTGTGTTTGTTCTCTTTTGGTTTGTGCTTTTTCACTTTGCGTCTAGCATTAAGACAAATCGTTTTAGACTTATAAATTATGCTAGAAACATATAGACTGGAGAAAAAGGTGAAAAAACTGAAAACAAAACCAAAAATAATATCATCTCTATTTGATAAGCAAAATGAAAACTGATAATATCTAGGTAAGTCAGAAACCATTAATGTTTATATTTGACTCGATCTGAAACTGAGGACTTACCTTAATTATGTATATAATTTGTTTTTTTTTATATATTTAGTATTTAATATATATAATATTTTATATACATATATATGTATATATATTTATTTTTTTATATTTTTATATCATGTTTTTTTTTATTTAATAAAACCCATTTTTAATTGATTTTCCAAACATATATATTTCGATTTAAAATCAATAAATTATATTATAAAGAAAAAGCACCAGACACGAAAAAGTTACAATTTTTCTCATATTTCATACAACAATTTGAATCGCTCACAATAATTATATGTATAGTAAATATGTATATATGTATTTCTAACACCAATTTCATTTATTCATCAGTTAATACTTTTGTTTTTTATTATATTACATTCTAGTTTGCTAAATTTGTTATTATTAAAACTTGGCACAGTATTATGGAATAAACAAATAAAAGAGAATTAAATAAAGGAATATATATTATTAATATATGTACATATATATGTATATATATTATTATATATATATATATATGTACCGATAATAATTTTGCAACAATTTCTATTTGATTTCAATTCTCATTTATAACTATGTGTGTATAGATCTTGGTTTTAATTCTCTTTTAAATAAATAAAGCTTTGCTCTTCGCCTGTTGCACGACAGTTAAATAAAATTTACACACGCACACACACACAACTTGAGCGTGTGTGTGTGTTTGTTTGCTATTTGCATGCAATTAACATGCCTCAATTCAATTGAAATTTAATTAGCTGACATTTTCATTTACGTTCTGTATCGCTATATATGTATGTATGTGTGTGTGTACGTATGCATATATATTTTTATTTTCCATTGATTTATCGCTCGTCTAACTGCAAAAGAGAAATTGGAAAAAATATATATTATTTGTTGACTCAATTTCAGTGTAGCATAAATATCGTGCGCGTTGCATCAACATTTGGTTTTTAACTGTTTTTTTTTTCTTTCTTTTTTTCCATAAAAAATAGATAACTTTACGCAAAGAGGTCGAGCGGCTTGTATTTACATAGAGGAAGTGTGGGTGAGAGGCAATTCCCATCAAATAATTTCCCTTATAGGAATTTCCCTTTGATATGATCTGCCACAGATTTACATACACGCGCATACATGTGAATGCATATTTGCACATTTTAATACTGCCCGCTGCTCGCATTGTTTCTGGATTTTGCGGTACATTTTAATAACATTTACAAATACAAATAGATTTTTTGCTTCCATGAGAGCAAACAGCATAGCATAAATATTATATATATTGTATAAATTTGCGTTTGCTTCGTGTTTTTACAGACTTTTATAAAAAATGCATAGTCAAAGGCAGAAGAGGCACAGTTAGTGGGAGTGAGAGGTGGCTCTTGGCATAAATAAATTCCCCCCTTTTCAAATAATTTCCTTTTTTGCCTATGTCCAAATATGCAGAGCATATTTTAATGTTAAGCCTAAAAGTAAGCTATACAAAATTTATAATTCCCTTTGATTTCGCATTGTTTGCGCATTCTGTGTGACATTTTAATGAATTTAAATGCGAATGCTGTTGTCTTGTTAATAGTTGCGTGCTGCTGCTATGTGGTTGTTGTTGTTGTTCCTAAGCTAACAATGTTAACTAAAATGTCAAACATATAAGACCTTAATCAAATATGCACATTCACACGCACACACTCGCACTCACACACTCACATAGTTTGTTAGGTAAACTGTAGAGCAAATTGTGAAAGAAACACAAGACACAAATCAATTTGCATGAGGATTGAAACTTTGTAGCTTGCCGCAGCCGAAACTTTGTTTAGTGAGTGTGTGTGGGAATGTGTTTATATGTGTGTGTGTGTGATTCTAGCAATGTCTTAAATTTGAAATTCAAATTTATGAAATTGCTGCAGTTGAGGAGCACACACACATATGGACACACATGTATAAAAACTAATATATGTATGGGCATACCTCACTCACACAGGCACATACACGCTCACTTGCTAATATATGTATGGGCATTTCTCTCTTCAGCTTCTCGTCTCCCTCTCTCTCTCTCACACACACACAAATTTGTGGCTGATGCCTTTACAATTAGATGGCATAGCATGCTAGCACACTCACACACACGTCATAAAAACCTTTTTATGTGGTGCAAATTTTATGAATAGTCTGGCAACTCCAGACCCCCACCCAGGCCCCCTCTTCGACTTTGTGTCCATTTGCCTGTTGTAAGTCGTTCAGCTGGAATCAAGTTGTTGGCACAATTAGTGTGGGCGTGGCGGCTGCTGTTGTCTGCCGTCTGCCGTCTGCCGTCTGCATGGGCGTTGTTGTTGGGGCTGGGCGTGGAGGCGTGTCTGTTGCGGCTTTCATTATCGGGTACGTGCCTCATTTTGTCCATGAATAAAGTTAAGTAAAATTAATTGCGTAGCCGCTGGCGCCAAAAGTGTGCGAAATGTTGCCGCTTTTGTTTGCTTACTTTTTTGATAACAACAACATCAACAACAGCCAAAACAATTGTAGCAACAACAACAACAACAACAATTATCACAACAGCAGCAGCAGCAGCAGCTCGAGGAAAGTTTTTGAATAATTTCATTAATGTATTTGGTAAAAATTTTCTGGCGCGTGAGATATTTGCAAGTAATTTTCATACACCCACACACACGCGCGTAATTATAGCATCTGCTTGTTATAATTTATAATTAGCTCAACAAAAATATGAACCGAAAAAATAAATATAATTTTTGTTTATTTTGGGCAACAAAACAATCAAAGCAGCGCTACCTTAGCTGGTTTTAAGCTGGGCTTAATAGAGTTATATTTTTGGGTAAATTTCTGAGAAATTTTTATAAAAACAGTAAACAATCAAAATAATTTATATATATCTATATATATATATATATATATATATATGTATATTTATTTTTAATTCAGCATATTTAGCAATACAAAAATATTTACTCTTTATAAGGTATCCCAGCGTTACGCGGTTCGCTTGCTTTGTTTCTGGGCCAACATTTTTAATTATACTTTTTAAGATATTGGCAAAAAAGTTTGCACTCCAAGCAGATTGAACAAACAGAGAACAAAAAAAATGAAAATAATAATGCTCAAGCGGTCGAGTTATAGCCCAGACCCTAAAAACAAAGCAAAATAATATATAAAATGTATATAGAGCAAAAAAACAGGTCAACAAAAATGTTGTACAATAAACTTTAATGAATTACAATTTGGCAGCGGAGCAGGAGAGCTCGGGCCTGTAAATCCTTGAGCAAACAGAAAAAAAAAAACAAAATGTAAAAGGAAATGAAAATATGTCGACGGAAATGAGTATTGACGCCATTGCTTCTGCTGCTGCTGCTGCTGCTATGCCTGGCGTATTGGGCATTCGAGCTTTAGAGACTTCCAATAGGAATTACCCAAGTGTGCGTATGTGTGTGTGAGTGTGTGTCTGTGTTGGTCAAGCCAAGTTGCCTTGGCGCTGATTTTGCTCGAATAAGACGAGTGGGGCATTAAGTTGCCGTTTCATCATTGTCAACAGTCGCAGTCGCAAACAATAAATATTGTAAACAATTTGTTGTGCCTGATGCTTAATGCCATCTCCCTTGCTCCTGCTGTTGCTCTCCCTTCCTATCTCTCTCTCTCTCTCTGCCTCGCTTCCTTCGCTTGCACTGTTTTGAAATGCCAGGGCAAATATTTGTACACGCCCAAAGAGGAAATAAGGTTCCAATGCGAAATCCGCAAAACCCTTCGGGCCCATAAATTATCATCATCAGCAAATGGCTGTGGCTGTGGCGCTTCGCTCTTGGCGCTGCCTCGACTCGCTGCGTTTACAATTTCCAATTGCCGCATACTGTTTCAAAAGCTATACTCACATACACACACACACACCCAGACAGCCGCCCACTTCCTTCCTACTTGCACGTGGCCGATGTGGCATTAATTAAATCAAGCATCATTAAGCGACTGTGGCAGCAGACACCGTGTGGGCGTGGCTGTGGTCCTTGTCTGCATTTGGATTTGCCGTCAAGTGGGTGCACAGTGTGCAAGCGATGATTAATTTTGTACTCAGTATCAATAATCACTATCGATATTTGCATTTAATATCAGCCCAGCCGAGGTAGCCATTTCACTCGCTCAACAGATCACCCTTTACTTGCACTGAGTATCGCTCATCGCTTATCGATACTAAAGCTCAGCACTTGCCCTCGCTCTAGTTGCTTCTCTAAGTCTTGCTTGCCATCTCGCTCACACGCATGATCTTAATGAAACGCGCTCATCTTGCTAGTTTTTGCAATCCTCTTTACTTTTCATTCTCCCAGCAGTCAGTGTCATGGCCGCTGCGTGCGAATGTCGCGCGTTGTCTAATATCTCAAATCGAAAGTGCAATTTATATTGTTTTATTGTGCCCATTTTTTTTGTGACCACAGTGCAGAGTCGTGTAATTAAAAATTGCTAACCTCGCCGCTGCTAGTTACGTAAATTTCATTTGTTGAAGTGTAATTTTATGGCATTGCCTGTTGTTTATATGTATGTGTGTACCTTGGTGTCTATTAAAGTGTGTGTTAAGTGCTCAATTGGACTTTAGAAGCAAAGCCATGCATTATTACTCATCAAGTCTGAGGCTGTTTGGAAGTGCACAAGTAAGTAGGTAAAATTCACAAAGTAATTTCTAATCATTAAAAATTGAAAATATACGAACATGCACATGTGCAAACATACACACTTACATATATATGAAGAGTAATAAGTTCGCTCATAAAAGCCTCGGAGAGGACAGGGAAATTTTAAATGTTACTTATGTTTATTATATGCAAATGCTTTTTCCTCTCGCCAAATGAGTAAATATGTGTATACATACATACGTACACATGCTCTTCAGCATTCATGATCTTCAGCATGCTCATAAATGTCCAAAAGAGATAGAGTGCAGAGGGCAAAATTGGGTATATTTTCGGGACATTTATTTTAAGCATGCATAAATTAAATGCAAGTGTTGCTCATAAATGCCTAAACGCGAGAGGAGAGTAAGCTGGGTACTTTTTTGGGACATTTGCTTTAAGCACGTATAAATTAAATTTGTTATTACATGCTTCGCTTATGTGTTTTATATGCAAGTTCGTTTTTTTTTCCACTAGCCAAAATGTATTGTCTTTGCCCAATGTCTGGCAGCTGGCCAAGTCCAAAAAATGTAATAGGGATGCCAGCTGCGCTTGTTGGTTTAAGCAACAGCAAATGCACTTCGCAGAGGCATTTTGTTGGTCGAGCGGGTAAAACCCACTCTCTCTCTCACACACACATACACACGACATAGACTCAGACAAACATAAACACACATATACGCACTCCCATAGAGAGTGTGAAGCGTCGCCCTTTTCTTTTGGCTTAAATGGGCTTAACGTTCACAAAGTTCTATTTATTGCGCCTCTTGTTGAGGCCATTTTTCACTGGCGAGGATTTCGGCGCGCTTGAACGCTTGAAATTTCATTTGCTAAATGTAATTCGATTTAAGTTTAAGGCATTCGCCATTTGCTTTTAGCCATTTGCTTTTTGCCGTCTGCCATTGTAAGCGAATTGCAATGAATTTTTCATAGCTACCCGTTTTTTCTCCTTTCGTGCTTCTTCTTCCTCTTCGCCTTTCCTTTCCACTGCAAGCTTTTAGCTTGCAATGTGCAACAGCAAAGTACAGCAGATAAATATAAAATGCATTTCTCTGACTTATTTTATTTTTAGTTGATTTTTGCGTTTCTCTTGCCATAAATAAATATGGCTTAAAGTGCTTTAATCTTCTTGCTGGCACATTTTTAATTTGTTTGGGCAGCCTTTCTCTTTGAGTTTGTTGTATTTATTCAAATATTTTAGAGCATTTTGCATTTTCTATTTGTATTTCTAAATAATTTTAAATGGATTAAAATAGTTGGGATTTTTTTGCAATTGCAAAAAATGGAATTTAAAATTTTGTATTCCAAATTTTTTATTTTAAAGCTTAAATTAAATTGTAATTTGACTAATTTATTTCATTGCTAAAAATTTATTGTTTTAAATTTATTTAACTGAAGTTATTTTGGACTGTCTCAAAATTTTTTTCATAAAGTACACTTCAACATAAATACAAATTTAAGTTATCTTTATATTTATTTTTTTTTTAGAATTATATATCTATTATTTTAAAAAAATTTTCACACTAAATGTCTTTCCCCTTCTTGATTATTCACTTTTTATGATTATTTAAAGCTAAAATAAGCCAAAAATTAATACTAACAGTTCTTTAAAGCTGAAAGCTGATTAAATGTCTATGCAACCCCTTCCAAAAAAAAAAAAAAAAAAAAAAAAACCTCATCAACTTGATTGCAATTTCAAACAATTTAACTGAGCTGCTCTTTTGGCTATCAAAATGAATTCATCTAAAGCTCTTGCAGTTGCAGCTTGATTGGAAATTTATTTGATCACATCGTGTTTTTTATTGCTGTGCATTTTAAGCTTTGTTAAAATATTCATTTTGCTAGTGCAGTATGAAATTTCACTGATTTTGCAGCTCTCAATTAAATTATAAAATTTGAAAATGGGTTTTCTTTTTTTTTTTTTGGGAGGGGATTTTTATATTTTTCTATTGGACAAAAAGCGCAGCACTTGGCCATCAAAATTGTTTTTGCATATTGCTTTGTGGCGCTCCGCACAAATATGGAAATGGCACTTGTCCGTGGAACTGTGTAAAATCAAATTTGCTGACCTACCTCAAAGTGGTGGTGGGGGGGTGTAGTACGCTGGCTGTGGGTGCAGCCAAAAATTTTGTTGCGTCTCGTATACAACAATCGGCTAAAAATCCACAATGCAAACAGCAACAACAACAGCAGAGAACACAACTGGGCTAAAAGCAATAAACTGGTTGAGTTGGCCAAGTGGTTTTTTGGCATTGCCAGTGTTGCGGTTCCCGTTTGCCCACCACTGCCACGCCCACGCTATAGCATTCGTTTGCCTCCTGCTCTAGCACTACACCTCCACCTCTACCTCCTCCTCCTGCTGCTCCTCCTCCTGCTTTTCTAGCCGTTGCCCGTGCTGAGCAGCGGCGCTTTGCCAACTCAGCAGGCATTTAGTTTTGTGTAAAATGCAATTTGCTACTTTTGCATAAAAACCCCATTGTTGCTGCTGTTGTTGACCCTCATACTCCACAAAGCGTTGATTAAGGGGTATATGAATTTTGTGGCCCTAGCAAATTCAGCAAATTTTTATTATGCTGCATATTTTGTGGTATTTTATTTTATTTTATTTTATTTTGTATTGTGAATTGCTTCAAATTGAGTTGAGCAATTCATATTCTGTTTGAGAATTACAGCTAAAGTTTAGTCTGTAGTTTAGTTTTTTGTTAAGTTAACTGTACAAGGGAACTAGTTCTCAAAACGAACTTAATGAACCTGAATTGGTTTAATTTGATGATCATATGTGGAATTTCTGTAGATGAATAGTTAAAAATACACTTAAAAGCAAAATAACAAAAGAATATGGGATACAAAAATTAAAAAAAAAAACTAATTAATATTAAAAAAATTAAAAAAAAAAACAATAAAAAATTAAAAAAATATATACATATGTACATATATTTCTACAAATAAAATTTCCATGAATAATAAAAATAGGAATAGGAATCTAAGAATTATAACTAAACAACTTTATGTTTAAAAAAATATTAAAAATAAATCTATAATAAATAAAAGACAACTTACGATGAGCTTGGATTAGGAATTTCATGAAAAACTCATTTGGCAAAAATTAAATGAAATAATTTAGTTAATTTAGATTGGTATATTAATACATATATTTTCTGTAAATATATTTTGCATATATATGAAAGCCATGCATATTTGTAATTTATTTCATAATTCAATTTCAGCTTTGCCTTTGGAATGTAATATGCATTCACGTAAACCAAACTAAATTTTTGCTAATTAGCGCCCAAAAACTAATTTAAAAAAAAAAAACAATACAATTTATATTTTGTTAAGCTATGCAAACATTTTTCAGCATATAACAATTTTATGGAATTAGTTGCAGCTGCAAATTATAAATGCAAACTACGAAATCTACATAGCTGTAGTTCCATAGCTGCAGGCTAAAATTAGACGAAATGATGAAAACTATTTTGAGAGCTTTGAACTGGCTTTGAGCACCTGCAGTTAAATACGTATATATGTAAATCTATCTATGCACTTTACTGTGGTTAGTGAAAGACTGAAACGAAAACCCCAAAACATGGCTTTGTGTGCCCTTTGTGTGTTAGACACTGCTGCTTTGCTAGAGGATTATGGCTTATAATAGTATTTTTGGCATACAAAAGATGCTAGTCTGAGAGGGAGAGAGAGATGGGGAGAGCTTGTCTAGACATACCTGAAATTTACGTAAATGGCTCCACTTGCTGCTCGGCATCCAATAAGCTTAAATCGTTGAATGTTGAACAATTTTCCAGCACTTGGCTGCTGGTTGCATTAATTAAATCAAAATCAATGGCCAAACGATGCTCAGAAGAAGATTTGAATTGCTCCTCCTGCTGCTCCTGCTCCTGCTCCTGCTGCTGCTGCTCCTGCTGCTGCTGCTCCTGCTGCTGCTCCTCGGCAATTTTGCTGCAGCAATTCTCTTGGCAGTCGATGGCATAGCAAAGCTCTAGCTGCGATTGCTCCTGCTGCCCCTGCTGCTCCTGCTGCTGTCCAGCTTGTTGCTGCGCATTGGCTAGCAGTAGCATTTGCTCCTCGTAGCTATAGCCATAGTCATATTCATCGTATTCATCCATCAATGAGTGCTCCGAGTAGCTTTCGTCATCATCATCGGCACAATCAAAATATCCGCTCTGTGTGTGCGTGCGAAGTGAGTTTATGCTAAACTGTTTTGAGGCCTTTAAGCAAATACTCACCTGGCAATCTAAGCAACGGCAATTATCACAGAGGCTGCAGCTAAGTCCTAGTATATCTGCTGCCTCCTGGTACAGTTCATAGCTCGAGGACCTGTTGTTAGTCAGTTGTTGTTGTTGTTTATGACTCTCCAACATCCGTTCGGCTTCAGCTAACTTGTTGTTGCTCTCATTATGCATGCTCCAATTGTTCAATTTATTTTGCTCGGCTCCTGTTTGACTGCTGTTGCTGTTGTTGCTGTGATTTTTCATGTTGCTGTTGTTATCCTTGCTGGCTGAGTGAGCCGCAAATGATGATGCTGATGATGATGATGATGCGGCCGCTGAACTGGACGTCGACATGGCTGCTGCGCCGTTGAGCTCCGCCTCATTGCTGTTGGCCCTGAAATGAAAAGTTTATTTCTCGTCCTGTATTTAGCTTTTGGTTGACTAAACTAAACGCCCAGTGCACAAATGAACAGGAACTTGGTTGGCATAGCACAGGAAGCGTACACTCTAGGGTGGCAGAGTGGGCGCCCATGGGGGGGGTGAGTACTCCAGAAGAGGAGCTATGCAAATTGAAATAAAGCGTAGCATACTTTTCAGCGCAATTGAATTTAAGCCCAACCATAAGTCGATCCATGTAAATGCAGCTTTGCCATGTAGACAAGGGGAATTTCAAATGTTTTTTGATTTGCGTTAAGTATATAAATGGAATGTAAAGCTATTTAGTTCTGTTAACACAACAGAAAGAGGTTAAGTTGCTTATGTCTATTAGCGGTAAAGTAACTCTATCGCTGATGAGAATGGGAATCAAAGAAATGTAGAATGATTGGAATATCGCATCTGTTCGATTAGAAGAACTGCAGGGTATCTCAACTAGATCATTTTTACAAGATTTTTTAATCAAAAATTTTTTTCTAGTATTGATTTAGTTCTAAAGATGTATGTATGTTCTATAGATGTAGTATGTATATTACTATTATATATATATATATAGTATATTTATATTATATATATATTTCTTTCAGCTCAGCTTTAAATTTTTAAAAATTATTAAATATAATTTTAATAGGATTTTGATGCAATTAAGAATATTGAAAATTCGTCTCAGTTATTCTATTCAATTTCCATATCAATTCATCATCATCAATTCACAAATTTAGCTTAAATTTTATTAGTGCACACATCCTGACCATCTTCAGGGTTGCCACTCTGTTGCAAACTGTCTGCTGCCTTTGCTGTAACTTTAAACCTGTCAGCCTGCTTCACCTGAACCATTTAACAAAAAAAAAAGGGGAAAAAATTCCACTGCATTGCAGCACATTAAAAAATGGAGTTGCCTTCCACTAAGTGCCTCTTATCAGATAGAGCGAGAGATTCAGAGAAAGAGAGAGAGTGAGAGGAAGAGAAAAAGGCCGAACGAGTAAGGGCCAGGCAAAGGCTGGTCGAGGTGCTGCGTAAAAATGCAAAATAGTTCTAAAAGTGAGCGCCAAAACTTTGGGTAAAATATTTTTTCTTTGGAAAAAAAAGAGAACGAGCCAAGAAATATGAAGAAAGTTATTTTGGGGCACACTTGAAAGCAGCTTGATGGAGTTGTCGCCAGTTCCCTGTGCTGCCTTGATGAATGTGCGCTGCGAGAATTCTCTTGTAATCAACTGTGAGAAAAAGCTTCGACGCTGGCGACGCTGACTGCATTTCCCAGCAGAGAGGCTGTGTTCTAATTAAAGTTGCTAATAAATCAAAGGAACTTTGCTGACAGCCTCCGCACCTCCTCCTCGCCTACTCTCTCGCTTTCTGCTCTCTGCTCTCCTCTGCTCAGTTGCAATTAATGAAATATTCAACGCTTTGCACTTTGACATCATTATTACGCAAGGACTCGCCAACAATTCTTTGGGGAAAATTTATTTTTGGGCCTTTTGTGTGTGAGCGAGAGAGAAAGAGTGAGAGCAGGAGAGGGCAAGTAAAAGTGTAGGCGGAACAGGAGATGCCAACGGGCGTGACGGCTAGAAAAGTGCAATTTTTACCTTTTATTGTGTTCTACTTTTTTGTGATACTTGTTCAGAGAGTGTTTAGGGAGAGTATATTGGTTTTAATGAAATGCCAGATGGTGCGGGTGTCTCTAGCTTTACTGAAAGCTTTACTTGAATTTTATTGGGTTAATGGATGACTATATATATATATCTTTATATATATATATCTAGTCATATATATATATTTATATAATGTCTTTCCTATAGAAGGTTATATAGATTCCATAATGGAAATCTGTTAAGACCTTTAAGAAATGGGATTGTTGTAAATGATTTACTCAAAGAAATCTTAACATATCCACGTTATTTTTCTTTACATTATAGATCTTATAGATCCCTCCAAAATAATTTTTAACCATTTAAAATAAATAAATAAATATAGAAAATAAATGAAACTATAATTGCACACAGTAAACGAGTATGTTGCAGTCGATTACGCTCGATGGCAAAACTTTTTTTTTTTTAGACATTTTCTACTCTTTTTCGCGGGCAACTTTTCATGGCTGCCACGCCCAACAATCACCAGCAGCTCGTTAGCTATTGAAATATGATTATTGCACTTCAATATAAATTGTTGCAAGTGCTAACGTTGCTGCTGCTGCTGCTCCTGCTGCTCCTGCTGCTCCTGCTGCTGGTGTTGCAAGTTTTGCCAGCTGCCACATGTGTGTGGCATGCATTTTAATCAACTTTATGGGGCCAGGCCAGAGCACTCAACTCTCTGGCAGTTTAGGGTATCGGCATTTTAAGCGCTTCAACGACTTTTTGCCAGCGCGTTAATTTTTCAATTTCACAAATGGCTGAGCCAACTAAAGCCTGGCTATAGTGCCACGCCCCCACCGTCTGTCCGCCCGCTTGCACAAAGTTTTGCACGTTGCTAAGCGATGGTGATCAAAACTTATGACTTCATGAACAATGCAACACAACGGAATGGAACGGAACGGAGGCACAGCTAAACAGGAGGGCGTGGCAGGTATAGATAGCATGGTGGGAGGTGGGAGGGATTTGCGCTTGGAGGGCATCTGCCACATTGTGAACAGCTAATTGAATGCGTTTAACAGCCGTCGGCGGGCGGTGGTGTTGGTGGGGAGGCGTGGCAGCAACGTGGCAACTGGCCACACAGTTGCAAACAAGTTAACGCCCAAGTTGAGCTCATTTCTGCGGCACAAACTGTCATGAGCGATGTCTTTTCCCAAGGCACAAAACGTGTTGATGATGACCAAAGCATCTGCTCTCTCTCTCTCTCTCTATCTCTCTCGCTCTCTCAATCACTTTGCCCCCTCTATCTGCTATTGCTGCAAACGCAATACGAATAAATATTAAATCATTGGCTTAAACTTAATATTTATAGGGAATTTGATGAGCTCGCCATTAAAATAGAGTTTATTAGCAATAAATATTAGATTAAAGCGTCGTACGTGTGCTTCATATTGAACAGCAGCCACTTTAAGTATCGGTCAGCATTATAAAATGGGATGCAAAACGAAGTTGAATTTGTTTGAATCATATATAAAAGCTTTGGTCTACTCAAATATTGAAAAGCCTCTGATTTAAGTGTTGTTCAACACTTAGGAATAACATTAAGGTTCAGCATTATAAACTCATTGGGAGCATTCTATCTCCTTCTCTCCTATCTTTCTTCTCTCCTTCTCTCTTCTTCTCTCCTTCTCTATCTGTCTATCTATCTGTCATCTCTTCTACTCTCCCTTTCTCTTCTTCTCTCCTTCTAAATTTCTCTTACCCTCTCTATCTATCATTCTCCACCCTACTCTGCGTTTCTCTCTCTCTTATCCTTCTCACTCAGTCTACTATCATTGCTTTCTATTGCATAGCTGTTATCGATAAACTTTCGATTCGATAAATCATTTGACTCTCGATTGCTTACGTTGCGCTTCCTAGAATTTTCATAAAGCCTTCACTTGGGCCAAGTTTTCTATCTGCGTGGCAAACTTAATGACAAAGTTGTTGTCATGCTCGCGCATATTTTGCCAAGAGATAGTGTGCGAGAGAGAGAGAGAGAGAGATGGCGTGCGAGCGACAGTGTGGGAGAGCTCTCGCCCAATTCCGTTGGCCCAATAAACTTGTGCCCCATAAAAAGTTGCCCACAATTTTGGCACCGCAATATGCCTTATAACATTTATGAGAATTTATAAGTTTTTCGCCGCAGACAACTGAACGAGATGAGAGCTGGAGGTTGGGAAAGGGCAAAGGCCACACCTACCTGCTGGGCTGCTGTGTGGCGCCACAAGCTTCCGTTTCATCCGGTGTCAGCTGCTGCTGCTGCTGCTGCTGCTGCTGGTTGCTGCGCCATTTTTCTTCTTCGAGAAATTTGAGAAACTTTGTCTTCTTGGCAATAAGCGTTGATTTGACATTGGTGCACTTTTTTCTGTTGGCCACAGCGCCAACAGCTGCTGCTGCTGCTGCCGCTGCCGCTGTTGTTGTTGTTGTTGTTGCTGCAACTGCTGCACCCTCGTGCGTGTCGCTGCGGCATCTATGCAAGCCCGCTGCTGACAGGCAGCCATTGTTATGACTCCCAGCTGGGCAATTGTTGCTGTTGTTGTTGTTGTTGTTGCTGCTGCTGCTGTTGCTGCTGTTGCTGTTGGTGCTGTTATTGTGGCTCTGGTGCTGCTGATTTCTGTGGCTGACATTTTGGCAGACATCGCCGATGGAAGCCACATTGCAATTGAACAATTTCTGCAGCGCTGCCGTTGCCGGTGAACACATTGCGGTTGACATTGATGTAGCGACCGGATTTGTTGTTGCTGCTGCTGTGACAACAGCAACTGTTGCTGTTGTTGCTGCCGCTTGGACGGCTGCCGCTGCAATGGCAGCTGCCGTTGCTGACGACCCGTTGGCTGTGCCGAAACTTTTGAATTTATGCTGCAAACTGCAGGCGGCACTCGAGCAACTTGCCCCAATTGAATTGTTTGTCCTGTTGCCCGTTGTCCTGCTGCCGTTGCTGGTGCTGCCGTTGCTGCTGCTGCTGCTGTTGCTGCCATTCATTTCACGCCCTGTTGCTGCTGCCGTTGCTCCAAAGTTCTGCAAACACACGGACACTTGACCATACCAATTCGACCTTACAAGATGTTTGCTGAATTAAACTTACGCCATATGCTGCATTGTAGCCGGCATTGAGGACGTAAATAGAATTTTGATTGCTGCACTGGTAAACCATATCGTCCATTGTTGGGGCTGTGGCTGTGAAAAAATAATAAATAAATAATATGTCAATAAGTCTACATGTATTTAATATATTTCATATTTTGCAACTTGATTTAACTAAAAATAAAAAAAAAAAAATATATTCAAAGAGGTAGCAAAATAAAATATTAAAGAATTTTTTTATTCCATTTTTTAAATGTTAATTTTTATTATAATTATATAAATTTATTGAAATCTATTAATTTAAAAAAAAACCTATTTATTTTAAATTTAAAAAAAATATATATAAAAGCTATAAATTACTTCTCAAGTTTTATATAGTAAAAACAATTAATTTCTGCTTACATAATAATTAAAAAATAAAAAATAAAATAATATTTTTGTTATATATTTTTGTTAAAGAAGAAAAACTCTTTAAAAACTTTTTCTCCACTAGAAATTTTAATTTATTCTCTCTCACATCTTTTATTTTATTTTTTTTTATATTTATTATTTTATTTAAACAGGCTTTTTACTACCTAATTGGCAGCTTATCTCTCACATCTTACTTCCTAAAATCTATATCGATTATTGCTTAAAGCTTCTCACAAACTTTAAGTCCGAATTTTTTTGTAGATTTTAAAATTCATATGCTAATTTTGGAGTTGAAAATATTGTAGCCTACTTTTTTGGGCAACTGAGAAATCGTTTAATATGCGCGCAAATAATGAAAGTATGCAAATTTCTGTTGGCCGCAAAAATCCAAACAATTGTAGCTGATGCCGAATATCAACGCCTGCTGTTATCAGAGGCGAAAACTGAAGGAAGAAAATGTAAATGAAAATCGAAAATGAAAATAAAAATAAAAGAAAATTAATTTAGATTTTGATTGATGGCAGGGCGTGAAGGCGCTGCTGCAGCTGTGATTTCTTATTGCTGTTGTTGTTGTTGTTGTTTTACATTACCCGCTGAACTTTCAATAAATCTCGTCTCGTTGATATTGGAGGATATTCCCGAAATTCTCCACTGCTCCCGCTGGCTTTTGTACCGATTTTTCAGTTGCTTTTGTTGTTGTATGAAAAGTGTTGATTGCTCTTGTTGTTGTTGTTGTTGTTGTTGGTAATGTCCGGATGGCAGCTCGTGTTGCTGGTAATCAAAGCTGCAATTACCGCCGTACACGTCCAATTGAAGCGGAAATTTATGCGGCTGCTGTAGCGTGTAAACGCCAGCATCGACGTTGCCGAAGCCGTCTCGACGTCGCTGCTGCTGCTGCTGCTGCTGTTGCGTCTGCTTCTTGTTGCTCCTGTTGCTAGTGCTATTGTTGTTGTTGGAGCCAAACCAGCTCGTTAGCCACAAGGATTGTAAGTCTAAAAAGAGAGAGAGAGAGTGAAAGAACCAGTAAGAAGGAGAGTGAGAGAGAGAGATAGACAGTTGGTGTGAGTGAGGTGGGTTAGACCGCCTTAGCATATTGAGCCAAAATAAACAAGTTTCATGAATGCCCCATGAAATGTTGTCTTAGATTTGTTTAATGCACATGCTGAGCATTTTCTTGTTATTCTTCTTCTTCTTCTTCCTGATGTTGTTACAGTTGTTGTACCATTGTTATTTCTTACCGCCTGAGTCGACACGCATAAGGACTTTTTGTTATTCATATTACTTGACTGGCTTTCAGCTGTGCTATGTAGCTAAAGTGTAAAAACAAGTAAAATGACTTGGGAATACCCTGTGCGCCCCTAACTGTTAACATAAAATGCTGTTAATTAACAGATCTTTAACATATCTGTTAGATTTTTCTTTAATAATTCTTTGAGAACTTTTCATTAGAGAACATTTCATATCTTAGCTGTGTTATTGTATGCCTCTGTATATGATATTACCCAACACTGTTATATCAGCATTATGTAGCATTAACTAATGCTGTATAATGAAGTCATTATATAAGTAATACTGTTTCATCAACACATTTTGATGAGTATTACTTGCTCTGTATAAATTATTACCCAGCTCTACCTCTTATTATATCACCCATCTTCCACGACTGTTATCCGAGTAGCAGCACTCAGCAGCTGTTTCGCAACTCTGTACTTAACATTTAATACGTCTATTTTAAGTACAATTAATTAAGTTAATGGCAACACTTAACCGTAGCCATCAACAGAATGAAGAGAAACACTTAAGATAGCAGCAACCCTTTGATAGGAATATGATTTAAGGGGCATCAAAGGCAGACTGAGATAATGCGTGGGTCTGGGCTGAAATTGCGTTTGAAGGGCGGTTCATTGAAATGAAGAGCAGTCCGATTGCGGCTCATTCATTTCGCTTGTTAGCAGCTCCATTAAAAAGCGCTACACTTGCTTATTTGCTTCGTTTTTATATTTTTAGGCAGTAAGTCGGTTTAAATGCTATCTGGCTGTGTTTCCTATGGCCAGGCCGTGCGAGCACTAACAATAGCCAAAAATATAAAAAAGAAAAGGGAGAAAAGAACAACAACAAAAAGCTACAAATTTGTTTTTGTGGCACGCAAAATAATCAAAAATAATCCTTTTTTGTTGGCCCTCCTTTTGTGATGCATGCCCAAGGCATTGAGTTAGGGGTATATTTGTTTATAAGTGTTCTATATATATTCTGATTTGTTTAGATATTACGAGATTTGGATAAGTTAGCTGGGATGGTGTGAAATTGTGAATTTCTTAATTCTGTAAAAAGTACTTTATATATTACATATAGTGCTAAATAGTGTTTTATGTTTCAAAGCTAGAGCATGAGAATTTTATATAGCCACGTAATATAGATAGTTAGATAGATAGATATATATATATATATAGATAGATATAGATAGATAGATAGATGGATAGATAGATAGATAGATAGATAGATAGATAGATAGATAGATAGATAGGTAGATAGGTAGATAGATAGATAGATAGATAGATAGATAGATAGATAGAT